CTCTCTTTTCTACCTTCAAGCCAATTTTGCATCCTATTGGCTAGCTCCCCTGGATTCCATTTGATCTAACCTTGCTAACCAGTCTATCATGTGGAATTTTGTCGAATGCCTTGTTGAAGTCCACATAGACAACATCTACCACTCTGCCTTTATCAATCCTCTTTCTTACGTCTTCAAACAAACTCAGTCAAGTTATTGAGACATGATTTCCCATGCAAAAAGCTGTGTTCACTATTTGTAATCAGTCCTTGCTTTTCTAAATGCATGTAAATCCTGTCCCTCAGAATCCTCTCCAACAACTTGCCCACCACTGGTGTCAAGGTCACTGGTCAATAGTTCTCTGGCTTCTCTTTACCACTTTTCTTAGATAATGGCACCACATTAGCCAATCTCCATTATTCTGGCACCTCACCCATGGCTATCGATGATACAAATACCTCAGCAAGGGGCCCACCAATCTCTTCTCTAGCTTCCCACAAAGTTTGGGATACATCTGATTAGGTCCCAGGGATTTACCACCCTTTATGCATTTTAATATGTCCAGCACTTCTGCTTCTGCAATATCGTTTCAAGATATCACTATTTATTTCCCCAAGTTCTCTAGCTTCCATGTCCTTCTCCACAGTAAACACTGATGCAAAATACTCATTTAGTATCTCACCCATTTGCCATGGTTCCACACATAGACAGACTTGTTGATCTTGAAGGGGTCCTATTCTCTCCCTAGTTACCCTTTTGCCTTTAATGTATTTGTAGAATCTCTTTGGATTCTCCCTAACCCTATCTACCAAAGCTATGTTATGCCTCTTTTTTGCCCTCCTGATTTCCCTCTTAAGTGTACTCCTACTATCTTTATATTCCTCTATATATTCATTCGATCCCAGCTGTTTATACCTTACATATGTCTCTTTCTTTTCCTTCACCATAGCCTTAATTTCTCTAGACATCCAGCATTTCCTACACCTACCAGCCTTGTCCTTTGTGCTAACAGGAATATGTCGTCTGAACTCTTGTTATCTCAATTTTGAAGGCCTCCCACTTTCCAACCGTCCCTTTACGTGTGAATAGCTCTCCCAATCAACCTTTGAAAGTTGTTGCCAAATACCATCAAAATTGGCCTTACTCCAATTTAGAACTTTAACTTTTAAATCAGGTCTATTCTTTTCCATACCCATTTTAAAACTAATAGAATTATGATCACTGGCCCCAAAGTACCACTGACACCTCAGTCACTTGCCATGCCTTATTTCCCAAGGGAAGGTCAAGTTTTGCTCCTTCTTAGTAAGTACATACACATATTTAATAAGAAAATTTTTTGTACACACTTAACAAATTCCTCTCCTTCCAAGCCCTTAACACAATGGCAGTCCCAGTCTATGTTTGGAAAGTTAAAATCCCCTGCCATTGCAACCCTATTATTCTGAGATCTCCTGACATATTTGCTTCTAAATTTCCTGCTGACTATTAGCCAAGATAAGAGAAATTTGAATAAAACAAAACCATAGATGCTGAATATCTGAAATGAAAACAGAAATTGCTGAAGAAACAGAGCAGATCCTGTGGAGACAAACCAGAATTTACAAATGAATTCTGGAGAAGTATCAATGGACTCAACGTTAACTCTGCTTTCTTTCCACAGATGCAGCCAGACCTGTTTGGTTTCACCAGTAATTTGTGTTTTTATGTGCAGAGTGATTGGAAGTGCAGACAATTTTCCTTTACCGAGAGACAGAACTATCACTAAAGCATGACATTTGATCTAATGGATTAGATGAGATGACTAAACATATCCAACAGAAATTAAGAAGTTAAATTTATGAACTCCTAGTTTAGGTTCAGGTTCTTTTCCTATTGAGCTTTTAACAACAATCAAATTCAGAATTACTAATAATTATGTGTAGTTGTACAGTTAACGTCAAAGTTTGCAAAACTGTGTAATCTTTTTGCACTATTAACATTTTATCATTAGTGTATTCAGAATTCATTTTACAAAATGAACCGAGTTTATTATATTTTCAATCAAAGTATAGTTGTACCCTAGTCAAACGATATATCTCATCTTCTCAAATTGTTTGCTAGCATTTTTATTATGTGCTACTCTGATGTCCACGGAAACAAGCTGCTTGCTGTCTATGGCACTTCACAATGAAATTTAATTGAAAATAGGTTATTGAACATGGCAAAAAGTCAAGTAATTGAGTTTCCTTTATTAAAGATAATTAAATAAACATAGCACTGGAGTTTTGTCACGTTAAAGGAATGCAAGGATTTAGTTGTCTACTCTAATCCATTGTTTGGTATTGGTTTTAATGCAGTGTATATGCTTCTGGAGAAATGTTCTTTTGGATAATTTTGGTGTTAAGAGAGCATTTGAGGTGGTTTAGCCTGCTCTTAGTGCAAGATGCCATCTTGATAAAGGAGTTAGATCTGGAATCAGGAACAGCTGTTGTATATTGTCAGCTACTGCTCATTAAGGAGACTATGCTATATTTTGGTGGATAGCACTTGGCCTAGCACCATCTAAGAGTGACTGGATGAAAGAGAATGAACAAATAATTGCAAAGGATTTTGAGTGATTCTTTGGGGCACGTAAGAGAGTAGTGCTCACTTGCTGCTGGAGATTTGAAAAGATAATTGGGAGACTTTCTGGAATACTTTGTTAAAACTTCACCAACATGCTATCTAAATTAATTTTAAAAATATTCTTGAGGACAACACCTAAAAATCCCAGCAATACTCTATCTTATTGAACTCCTAATAGGAGAAAGGGGACTGTTTGGTCATCAACAGCGTGATAAAAGTTTCCCTTCTGGAATTAGTGGAAGACTTTGGAGAAATCGGATTGGGATCTGTTGCTGCAGGAGGAGGAGACAGGAGGTTCTGATAGTCTGTATATTCCTTGTGGGTAGGGAAGATACTCCCTCCTCTGGGTCTCCCCGAGGATGACAACCTTTTTACAAGTCTGGAAACATGTGCACCCACTCTCCAGTCTCTGATCCATCCTGGAACTTGCTATGTGTTAGGCAAAGCACTCCATATTTTCATTGGAAATGGGTGAGTGGAGCCCACATAGCTAACTCCATGAAAATTGCATCTCATCTACATTTCAATGCTAAATCTGCAGTTGTTTGCACTAGCATCTTCTGGCAGGTTGATGCAGTTTTACTGATTGTCCATTTCATGCTGAAACCAGGTGCAACTTAACAGCAGAGCACCACAGTTCTTCAATGTCACCTTTCATCAAAATTATTTTTTGTTTAAAAAAGGAATCCAATATAAGGATGAATTCACTTATTCCACTTCTCCATCCACGTGACTCTCCTGTTGCAATGTGAAAAGCTTTAAGCAGATGAAACAGTACATTTCGTACAACTGCAGACACCTTGATATTTACATTCATTGAATTTGAGACTAACTGAACTATCAAATGTCTTGTGTGTTAAAGACCAAGTTTCAATGGCTTATCTTTAATTACCTGTGCACTGATAAGCATGCAGTATGTACATTGGTGGAGCAGCAACAAAATGTTAATGTTTCCATACTTTGTTGAAGTATTTTAAGTAATAATATTCTGGAGGAAGCATCGTAAACCTGCACAGGAAATCCTTGGCAAAGCCTACACAGCATCTGGAAGTACTAACACAGACATTTGGCACACACAAATCGACTGCATTGTTAACTGTGCTGTTAAATTAAACAAAGGATACGTAATTACTGAATATGCTGAGCTATCACATTTTTTCATAATTGTAAAACTTGTAAGCTAAGAAACTGATTCACTTGAATGGAAGTATCACTGGAGCTTACAATCACTTTCAGCAAATCAGTCACAGTCTTTAGTTCCTCTGCCTGCATAAAAAAAACAGGCAAAGAGTCATTTTAAAAATATTGTAATGCATAAATTATGTAATCCAAACTATAATTAACACTTTGAGGAACTTTTAAGGCTATTTTTATGTTGCGAACCATGGTAGTTGATTGGAACTGGAAAACTTGTTTGTTTGACTAAAGACACTTAATAACCATCAAAGAGAGGACTCTAGTTCTGTCTGTCTAGATATTTTTGGATTGTACAGTTTTAACTAAAAGCCAAAAGAATCCAAGACCATTTCAGTTTCAAAAAGAAAGTAACCAATGCAACAGCTAATTTAATTTTTTTTTTACTTAAATACTTCTATAGAATCTCTACAGTGCAGAAAGAGGTTATTTGGCTCATCAAGTCCCCACTGACCCTCTGAAGATCATCCCACCCTATCCCTGTAACCCTGCATTTACCATGATTAACTTACCGAGCCTGCACATCTCTGGACATTATGGAGTAATTTAGCATGGCCATCTACCCAACTTGCACACCTTTGGACTGTGGGAGGAAACCAAAGCACGTGATGGAAACCCATGCAGACATGGGGAGAATATGCAAACTCCACACACTGTCACCCAAAGCTGGAATCAAATTCAGGTCTTTGGTGCTATGAGGTAACAGTGTTGACCACTGAGTCACTGTGCCACCCAATTTCATTCCCCTTCCATTAGTAATTCCAAATGCCAGTACTCTGAAATTAACCCTGTTCATATTGCAGTTAGGAATTTGAACAAGTGAAGCAATTTGATGCCCACAGTTGTTTTCAAGTACCTTTTACATTTTGGTGGTTGCTGACCCACTCCACTTCACCAGCCCACATTGTCAGGGAAGGTCCATACTGGCTAGCAGTGGACAATCTCATCATGTTCTGTGTTTTCATGTATTACACAATGCTTGGCATCCATAACATAAATAGGATACAGGAACCAAGCAGATGTTTGGCTGTAAGGTCCTAGTGCTTGTCAATTAATAATGTGCTGGCATTGCAGAAAAATGTTTATTAAGCATTTTAATGAACCATGGTGAAAAATAACTATATTGCAGCACTGAATAGAATTTTTTCTCATAGTGAATCTATTAAATATTACTATATGTCTGAATAATTAAAAAAAGTTCTATGCAAGACCAGAAACTTAAATTGGTTTAACCAACTTTTATTATTTTTGATTAGAAGTATAAATCGTAGATATCAGACAAACGTTAACATTTTAGACATCTTACCACAGTGAACTGTTGTATGTTAGTAATCTTAACACAGCAATCATAGAAAAACTGCAAGCTGAGGCAAAACATATGAACATGATTATACACACTATTTTTCCTTAAAAAATGACAAAACATTGTTTAATCAAAACGTGTGTGTAACATGCTTTTTTAAAAACAAATGCACCCATAGAAAAGTGAAATATTTTTCACAGGGTATCTCATATTTTAAAATTCTAAAATCTGGTCTGAAAGTCAAATTTTAGAGGCAAGCATTGATATGTTGCTGAAAAGTCTGAAGTATGTGCTGTCAGTAGCAAGGTGTAAAAGTACTAACACTTTACTGTATTTCAATTATCAAATACGATAAACACTGCATCCACTTTTCAGTTTTGAGGGATACTAAAATCCTGCACAAGAAATCGATTATATTAGGATTTTAATTCCCCTTCCGATCTGCTAAAGAAAATAAATTCACCATTTTAAAATATAGTTCAGTGATTTAAGGCACTAACCATCTGTTTTATTTATTCCTGCTAGATCACATTGGATGTAACTAATGCCATTGGTTACATGATCACATTGTATAGTATTAACATAGTACAGAAAAATATATTGTGGTCATTAAGTTATCTTATATACTTAATCTATAACATTCTAAAGTGATGGTTAGAAACTAACTTTCCACTATACTATAACATATTTATGGCTCCACGATGGACAGTTATATGTAGAAAGTACTGCAGTTCCAATCTGCTTATAGTCACAAGATCTGGTACTATAGGTCAGCTCTCAGAATGAGTTGAGTTTTTGGTAAAACATTTCATTCAAAAACAAACAGGTCTCTCTAAATCTTTCTTTGTGTTAGTGGTAGTGGGAAGTTTGTGTCACAAATTCCAGAAGTATGGGTCACACACTATTGAAGGCAGCCTTAATGTAAACCAATTGAGGTATTGGTCCATCAAATAGGGGGACTCAGAAAAATGGCACAAACACCCCTCTGACATTAATGCAGATAAATATTTGCAGAACGCAATGTAGTTAACTGAGGTGAACCTTTCCCAAGTTTCCTAAAGCTGACAGCACTTTGGATAAGTGAAGATTTAAGTTGAAAGTTTATGGTGTAAGTCAGATTGTAAACACAGCAGACACTCTCAAATAATATTTGCAGTGAAATTGGTGAAAAGGCATAGTTAATGTAAGATTGTTGAGGACAGTTATTTGAAATCTGGCTAATGTACTGTGGATAATAAGATGTCACCTAATAATATGTAGGATGTATCTAGTTGATTGCTGTGAATTCTTATTAAAGCCACTTTATTTCCATTTGTCAACCAGCCAGCATTTCATTCACTTCCATCACTTGCATCGTTTTCTTCATGACATTTGAAACCCTTTTACAGAATCTAGTCACTTAAAGTAAGGGTGCAGCTAATGGTTTCATGTATTGGTAGACTTTCGTGGATCTTTATGTAATTCCCTTACACCCATGAATAACGGGCTCATTACTCAATTTTAAAAAAAAACAGTACTTAAAGCCTTTGAATGATTACAGCAGGGAGGAGGCCATTCGACCCATCATATCCACGTAATCAAGAGAATTGCATTTCTCTATTGTTTATGTTTGCACACAATACGTGAATTTGCTATTTGGTAATATGACTACCAAGAGACAGTTTAGACACGTCCCTGCCGGAATGGTGACATCGGTGGGATGTGGTGTTTGGGGAGCGAGGGATGCTGGTGAAACTATAACATTACACCTCAAGCCACAAAAGGCCTTTTTAATGCATATTTTGATTGCACAAAGTAACATTTTTCTTTACAATGTTCCCTTGTCTATTTAGCAGTTTCAGTACACTTCATCCTCGTTACTGCGAGGGTTAGGGGCACGGACTCCCCACAGATTACAAGACGTGGATACCTTTCCTACGTACCACGAAGGACTGCGAGATCAGACCGGATGAGTCAATGAGGAAAAATAAATTGATGGGGTCTGGGGCCTCCTTCGCAAAATGTGTGGATTTGTGGGTAGCATATCAGTGGATAACGAGGATGAAATGTAGTTGACTTCACTTCCAAAGCTGGTCGTACAACAGGGAAACAGCCATTTGAATGAATGCATATCTGATTAACTTATGTTTGTGTCTGAATGCACCTAATGTGATCTGACAAGCCGTTATTCCAACTGGAAATCAACTCATCAAGTTGAGGCATCTCACTGATGGGGAAAACAGAACATTTCACTAACTAAACATGAGGTGATGGTATTGAATCAGTGCTCAATGTAGAAATTCATCCTGCACATTACCCTAATTAATTATATCCTGCCTTTTATGACCCACTACACCAGCAACCATTAATTGCATATGCACTCAATCACCTTGTTATCTTGTGCTGAAGCTTATTTTAACTGCAAGGTTCACCACCTACCACTGAAAAATCAATTTGCACGTCACTTTTATGAACAGCAAATTGTAAACCAGGTCAAAGAGTACAAGGGCAGCCTTGCAACTGTTAATTTCATTTTACAATTAAAAGACATCTTCAGTTCTGTAAGCCAAATGTATAGTACCTGGCATAGGGTCATAATTTAGAGAATCGGACAATGACACCTCCATTTCTTTCCGTTGTGCATTAGAGTTCTGTGTCTGCTTCTTTCCTCTGGTGACCATTTCCTGTCGGCTCTCCTGCTGTAGCTTTTTGGTTCTCCCCATTCTCCTGTGCCTCTCCATTCAGTTTTGGCTTCTCATGTGCATCTGATTGGTCCTCTGGAGCAACAGAAAACATTGTGCTATCATGATCCTGTGCATCGGGCTCCTCATCCTTAAAAGAGAAAGGACAAACTGAATTTGTTGCTAGCGCGCACAGCTGCCGAGCCGGGGATACACGTTAACACTAGCTCATCGCTGGTGACACAGCTGTTGCATTTTGGTGACCTGTAATTCTATAAAGGGTGTTTGCTTTGCCTGTTACACTTTGAAGGGCTCTTGTCAAGACAAGAAATAAATGGGGAAGCAGAATGTTGGGAGGAAATGTTGCCTTTCGCTCCCTAATCAATCGTACAAATTTATTTTAGACATTGATGGCTAACGACCTCTTAAAAATAAATATACAGCAGTTTTGTAAAAGTGGACTTTTGGTCCCCAATTTACTTTATATAAATTTACAGATGTCAATGTCAAAACTGTGCATTCCAGTTCAGGAACCCTATAGTGAACATTGATTGTCGTTGACTCTGATCTATAAATTAAACGGAGACCACCAGAGGGCTCTCACTCCCCATGCAGGTGACCGACCCTTAGTCTTGCAGTAGCAGTATGACTGATGCACACAATTTAATGTTGAAAGAAAACATATCTACATTGGGATTGCTAAAATAGAGACAGGAGGTGATCATTACAAATTAACCAAAGTGTTTCTCAGCTCCATTAGTGACAGTTTAAACACTAATCCGAATCTCTCTCTCTTTCTGAGTCTTAATAAAAACCGAAAAAAACTGCGGATGCTGGAAATCAGAATCAAAAACCGTTCTGAGGAAGGTCGCTCGACGAAAATTGATTTCTCTGCACCGATGCTGCCAGACCCGCTGAGCTTTTCCAGCAATTTCTGTTTTTGTTTCACACTCTTTCTCGTTTGGTTTTCTAATGGATTTCAAACTAACAGTTAATGACAATCAAGGAACCTCAATGGAGTTTGGTTGTAAAAAAAGAGTTAATTAACAAAAAGTGACGATGATTTTAGTTTGGCTTTTCCAGACAGGTTACTAATCGACGACGTTAGCTTCAAATGGTGCTGTAACACTATGAGCAACGGTGTTCTTAGTAATAATGCTGTTTAGCCCAAGTGGGCAGAACGCAGAGTGAATCAACAGGTCTGGCAGTCTCACGACTTTTCTGACATTCAGGAATGATAATGACTAATACAGTGTTCTAGAAATGTATGATTTTTTGAAATTTGAATTTCTCACCTCCCCAACCCATCCTGAATGTGATTAGAATCATGCGCTCAGTTCTCATTTTACAATTTAAAAGTGTTTAATAAGAATTTTAATAATTTCAAACTAGCTTCCCACTGAAACTTTCAGCTCGAAACTCCTTTCTTGCTTTTCCACGATTGAAGGGAGAAAAATGACCGAATGTTGACAGCTGAAAATGTTAGTTTACACTGCTATTGCAACAAAGTAAAACAGAAAATGCTGGAAAACGTGGGTCAGGAGGTTTGTCAACTTGAAATAATTACTGTCGTCCTACTGGTTGGTGTTTATATAGTATTTTGTACCAAATTCTGGAAAACATCGTAAGTTGCTTCATAGCAGCATTATAAAATAACCTTCAAAACCACTGGGATTTTGGAGCAACATGGGAATTGAACTGGTACATCTTTCTGTTTTCTTTCTATAACTTTCTAATGTTCAGTAGTCTAGGTAAAAGGTTAATGAGGTAGCTGACCAAGAGACAGTTATCTGTCAATCACCTGAAACCTGAATATGGCAATAATAGAAATTGCTGGAAAAGCTCAGCAGGTCTGGCAGCATCTGTGGAGAGAAATTGGAGTTAACATTTTGGGTCAAGTGACCCTTCCACAGAACTGTTGATAGGAAAAACTAGGAAGAAGTTTTTTTTATTCTGAAGATAGGGTTGGGCAGGCATAAATGATAGGTAGAGATAGAGCCCAAGGAGAGATAAGAACAGTTGGACAGACAAAGGAGTAGATAATTATCAGCCTAGGAGAATGAATAGCTACTCATGGGTAACTAGTGGCTAACAATGTGATGTGTGTAATAATATACCATGTGATAACAAGGCATGGTGTGTTGGGGGTTAGGGCAAGGACATGGGGGAAGGTGCCTCAAGCCCTAAAATTTGTTGAACTCAAAATTGAATCGACAAGGCTGTAGAGTTCCCAAGTGGAACTCCAGTTTATGCTGAGCTTTGCTAGAGTACCGCAGCAAGCCTGAGACAGAGATGTTGGCCAGGGAACAAGGTGGCGTGTTGAAATGGCAGGCAACAGGAAGCTCAAGGTCTTTTTTTTTACAGACAGAACGTAGATGTTCTGTGAAATGGTCATCTAGTCTTCACTTTGATTCCCCAATGTAGAGGAGTCCACACTGTGAGCAGCAAATGTAGTAGACTAAATTGAGTGAAGTGCAGGTAAAGTGCTGCTTCACCCGGAAGGTTTATTTGGGCTCTTGGATACTACCAGACACACATTCCTCTCCCTTCCCTTGCCAGCCTTCTGCAAGGACTGTTCCCACCGGGATACCCTGGCCCACTCCTCCTTTACTCCCAACACCCCCATAGTCCCATGGCACCTTCCCAGCAACTGCAGAAGGGTAACACCTGCCCATTTCCTTCCTCCCTCCTTAGTACCCAGGAAACTATTGGAAGCAAATCTGACAGAAAAAATGTGTATTTGGAGAGATAGAGATTAATCAAGGACAACCAGCATGATTTTGATAAGGGGAGGTCAAGTCTGCCTAACTTTTTCATAGCGGCAACCAGGTGTGTAGATGGGATCACTTCTCTGAAAATTTCCTATGTATCTATTCTACTAACTCTCCCTGACAGTTTGGTGGGCTACAATGCACTTACAGCAATGCGATTGCTTCCTTTTTTTTTGATTTGACGTTTTACCCTTACAGCCTCATTTATGAGGAACCTTGTAAGATGTCATCCTTTCTTATTGCAGTAATTGACTCCTTTATCAATATTGCAATACCATTACCTCTTTTACACCACACCCCTGTCCTGCCTGAAGATTCCTCGACCATATCTCTGTGATAGCGATGATATCATAATCCCATGAGTTAATCAACATCCTCAACCGATTTGTCATACTCACTAGGCTCCTTGCCTTAAAATAAATGCATCTGAATTTGCCACACTCCCTTATCTTCTCTTGACAATATTGGCTCTGCATCTCAGACTGATTTGGTTTTTCTTCTGTACTTGTCTTAGTATCGCCTGCTATTGCATGTCAGCCCAAGTCCCATTCTGCTGACAAATTAGTTTAAACCCCTACCAACAGCAATAGCAAACCCTCCCCATGAAATGTTATGCTGTAACTGTCGGATTTGTACAAGTCCCACCTTCCCCAGAAACAGACGTGGTAATCCACGAATCTAAAGCCTTCCCTCCTGTGCTCCCCTCTTCAACCACATATTCATCCACTGTATCTGCCTATCCCTAAACTCACTAGCATGTGATTGTAATACAGAGCCTCATCTCTTTGTAATTATGTCATTGGCATCAATGTGAACCTTGACCTCTGACTTCACCATCTTCCAGCTGTCCATCTTTACACTGGCACCACACATCATTCTGGAGTCACATCTGCTGCATCAGAAACACCTCATTTTCCAAAATGTGTATCTTCCAATGCTACTTTATATTTACCAGGCAAAGTGATCAAAGATTGACTTTCGTAGACCAAAATTGCTTCTGCAATTAATAAGACACAAATAAAACAAATATTCCCTTCTCTGCCTGTCTATAAATTCTCCATTAGGCGGCTCACACAGTGTGAAATAAATGATACAAGCCTCAAAAATTTTGAGCTAAATTTGTCAATTCATTGAAGGGAGCGGCTGATGCCATAATTAGTAGATATCTGGTTGACTGTCTTTTAAAGGGAACATTTTGCTTCTGTACCAATTTCCTTCCTCACATTTTAGCAAGTTTACAAGTTAGCTGACGCTGAACAATCGATTTTGTTTTATTGTGTTTGTATTGATAGATCTATACGCAACTAACACAAGCCCTAAACATACCATAATGTGAAACAAAGCTTTGAGTGAGGCTGATGCTCAGCAGATGAACCTCCCCTCGGTACACTGACAGCAAATTAGGAAATTATGAACTTTACATAAATTATTGTCTGCCCACATATGCCACACACACCTTCATGTGCACATATACACTCTCATCAAAAGCAAGACACCCCGACATCAATAGAAACAAATATTCTCCTATAACGGTTCTAATGTTATTTTTATTAATTGTTACAGAATGTCAGTAAATCTTCTCTGCAGTTTAGACAATTACCAGTCTCTTGCTCTGTGGGCTCTGGGACCGCTTGTTCATCTGATAGTATGCAACCAGAATCATTGCAGCAAGAAGCAATCCACTGACAAGTAATGAGATTAGCACCTTAGGGGAGCCAGGTTTGGAATGTTCCTTAGCAGTCTGGAAAGAAAGAAATATCATCTCAGTGTGACACAATTGGTTTGAATTTTCTACAAAGAATAGCAGTTAGCTATCAAAAATTTTAAATTACTAAATGCTAATGTTTGCATAAAGAGACTTTACACATCTATGTAGCAGTAAGTGCATTCATGCTGCCTTGGACATTTAATGCCATAAATCTAATCACGTACTGTCAAATTTATGAGTGTTACCAAAGTAAGACCAAACGGCTGAATTTGACCAGCTTTCTGGAAGCAGGGTGGGAAGTGAGGCGGTGGAAATAGGGATGGTAATCTGGTATGATCCTGTTGTCAAAGAATATTTCCAAAGGCAGGAATGGTAGCACCTTAGCCACATGCCTACCAGAAGTGAGATTCATATAATCCAAGTAATTAAATTTTTGATGTCTACTTAATGACTTCCACTGGGGTTTCCTGAACAATGGAATGGTTACCCCATGGTGTGTTATGCTTTCCAGCTGGAATGAAGAATCCTCCGTGTCCAGGCCATCTGATGAGGAAGGATGGGTGAAGGTGTGGGGGATTTCCTTTCAGGAAGCTTTGTGACCCAAGGAGTGGTGCCTTGACAACAGCCGTTACTCTCATGGCTCTGACATTGCCTTTGGAATATTCACCCTCCTATCACCAGGAACCACCTGTGTAGGCTTCGGAAGCTGAGTTTTGTCCTGCCATCGAGACACACGGTAGGGTGGTAAAGTGTCAATTCATCAGCGGACTGAGTTGGAAATCGGTGGATTTATTGCCACAACAACAACAACAATATATATTTATGTAGTACCTTTAGCAAAGTGCTTCTCAACAACTATATGCAACAAAATTAGACTCCAAGCCACACAATGGTATTAGAGCAGAAGACCAAATGCTTGCTCTGAATGGCAAGTTTTAAGGAGCATCTTGAAAGTAAGGTTGAGATATTCTGAGCAGAAATTCCAGAGCTCTGAGCCGAGACAGCTCAAGGCATAGCCACAAATAGTGCAGCAGCACAAACTGAAGCTATTCAAATAGAAGAATTAAATGAGGACAGGTACCTTGAAGGTATTTGTAGGGCTGGAGGAAATTACAGAGAAAGGGGGAGTTGAGGCTATGGATGTGTTTGAGAATAAGGTGAAGAAATATAAAATGGATTCCAAGTTAGGGAATGTTTTAATGTAGTTTAGCAAGCACATTGATGGGTGAATGAGATTTGCATAAGGAAGGACATGGGCAGCAGAATTTTAGGTCAGCTCAAATGTTAGGAGGTAGAATGTGGGATGCTGGCAAGAAGTGCTTTGAAATAGTCAACTTTACAGTTGAGGTATGGATGGATTATTCAAGATCCTAAAGGATGCACACAGAACGCTGATGATGGAATAGGTGGAAAACGCATACTTAGAACTTCGGTTGTTTTTAGACACTTTTCCCCAAAGTGAAGTGTCTGTTAAATTCAAAACTACATTTGTTGCTACAAAATCCATGCTTCAGACTCTAAATGTTGACTTTGAACATACTTAAATAACTAATAGATTACCACACGGACTTCGACGATTCAAGCAGGTAGTTCAGCACCATAAGCTCATGCCAATTAGGGATGGGCAATAAATGCTGTCCTAGCCAACAATGCTCACATCCACTACAAGAACAAAAATGAAATAACTTTCACAATCTTAGAATATCAAAGAGCTTTAAAGCAAGTGCCATGTTCCCCTACATTTAAATAGTGACAGTACTTTTGAAATGTAGTCAACATATAAACAAAGGAAAACACAGAATATAATTTGTGAACAACAAGTTTTGACAAACTGCAGTGAGATCTATAATCAGAAAAGCTATTCTATTGATGTTGGTTGATAGATAAATATTAAATATTACCCCGGGAAAACCTTGCTTTTCTTTGAATAGTTACAAGTTTTTTTAATGCCATCTTAAGAGAGTAAACAGGATGTCAATGTCACATCTTATGTAAAACTGAGCATATCTGACAGTGTATCACTTCCTCAGTGCAGGACTAGTGTGTCAGCCTGGATTATGTGTTCAACTTTGATAGAATGAGGTTTGAAACTAAAATTTTCTGACTTGGAGGTGTAAGGATTTGGACTGAGCCAAGGCTGACACCTAATACAACAAATATTGCATGTCTATTGGCAGAAATCTAACAACTTAAATGAGTGGCTCCTCGGGAACAGGCTTAGAATAAGCAACAGTCATAAATACTCCAGAAAAACCCTGAGGTGCCTATCAAAATATCTGTGGTCAAAACACATTTTTGCCAAGAATTTTCAAGGAGCACACAAGGGAGAGATTAGATCCCTATAGTCTCAGCAGTTAGACACGAATAAAAAATGATTTGTTATGTCAATAGCAGGTTTGTTTTAAAGTACTACTCACGATGGCTGCTTTAGAATTAGAAATAGCTTTATTGTCATGTACTCACATGAGTGCAGTGAAAAGTATACAAGTCGCCACTTACGACGTGATCTTAAATACAAAGGTAGCTAAGTGCAGATTCTTAAGTAGAAATTCTTAGGAAAAATTAGAAAAATAAAGAAATAAAATGTCCAGCATTGGACCTGCTAATATCACTTTGTATAGCCAGCAATAAAGGAATTATTTTTGCTGCATTGATTATTCTCAGATTATTTGGCATTTAAGGCAGTCTTAATCAGTTTCTTTTGTCTGTTGAATTTAAATCCATTCTACAAAAAATGCCCAGAGTACAGTGAGGTAAATTGTTTTATACACTGGCTGAATACAGGAGCAGTATAGAGCAGGGGGCAACTTAATTTCTCGTTGAGCAAAAGTGTTCCAACGCTGGCCTCTTATTCAAAAAGCTTTTACTCATGTTTAAATCATAACAATGGGAAGAGATATTGTGGTCCAGTTTGTAGCATCCCTGCCCCAGAGCCAGAAGTGTTAAATCCCAGTCCAGAATTTGATGAACAAGTACCAAGAAGGTATGTTCATAATGTGACCAAACAGGTAGATGATGAAGTTTTAAATCTTCTCGACAGACACCATTGGAAGCGGTGAGAATGGGAGAGATACTTGGTTAGCCATGTGTTGGAAAAAATATTTGAACTGTGACTGTCACTATCCAGACTACAACAAAAAGGCACTTTATCACAGGAAATTCGACTCCAAGTGATCTGTAAAAAACCACCAAGTCATGAAAATGAATATCAGAAAATTATTGATATACATGAAAATCAGAACTGAGTCCATTGTTCTCACCTATTGCACTTGTAAATATCAAAGATGACTGTGAAAGACTAAGAGTTATTTTTGAAACTGTACAGCATAATATGTACTACCCGCATCACAATGCAGTTTTCCTTATGAAAAACAGTTTAAAGTAAACTCTGCGATTCTGTCCATGAGTTGGTATTCGTGTATTCCAGGTACTGCAGTCTAAGCTGCTTAATTCAGGGAAACTTCACAAACTCTCAACGTCCTGGGGGTTGCCATTGATGAGAAACTAAACTGGACTAGCCATATAAATACTGTAGCTAAAAAAAAGCAGGTCAGGAGCTAGGAATCCTGCAGAGAATAACTCACCTCCTGACTCCCCAAAGCCTATCCACCATCTATCAAGGCACAAGTCAGGAATGTGATGGAATACTCCCCACTTGCTGATACAGCTCTAACAACACTCAAGATGCTTGAAACCATCCAGGACAAGCAACCCACTTGATTAATATCACATTCACAAACATTTTTGCCACTGACATACAAAATAAACAGCATGTGTTATTTACAAAGTTGCACTGCAGAAATTCACCAAAGTTCCTTATACAGCACTTCCAAACCTGGGACCTCTACCATTTTGGAAGAACAAGGGCAGTAGAACTCATGGGAACACCACTGCCCGCAAGAGCCCCTCAAGCCACTAGCAATCATGACTTGGAAGTATATCGTTGTTCCTTCTGTTTGGCTGGCACAAAATCTTGGAACTCCATCCATAACAGCATTGTGAGTCTACCTACAGCAAATGAGCTGCAGTGGTTCATAAAAGCAGCTCACCACCACCCACTCAAAGCCAACTGAGGATGGTCAACAACTGCTGGCCCAGCCAGCAATGCCTGCATCCCTTGAGGGAATAAAAAAATTCTGAAGTCTGAAAGAGCCCAGCTTCCAAAGGCCAACATCGTTGAAGATAAAAGAAACACTGTTCAGGAATGAATTATGATTTTGTTGCAACTTATGCAATTTTAGCTGTGTTTTCCATGTTAGAAATCTTTGCCCAGATTTTCTGCCAGATATATGTTATGCCAGCACAGATGGAATTGTGTATGGGGACCTTGCAGATTTTCTATTGGTGCACACTCAGAGGAATTGCCTCGAAATTGAATTTTCTGCTGGGTAATTCTGCTGCTTTGGGAATCCTCCGACAGTCTTCATTGAAATTGAATACTTCGGAGCGTTATGATGAAATTAACTAAAATAATTACCCAGAAAGTTGGACTATTAAATACATGGTCTATCCCCTGAGTAACTAATAAATGGATCCCATGCTTTACCTCACACATGCCCAGTACCCTTCTCCCAGACCACTTGCATTCCCCTAGACTCTAATCTGACACTCCACCAGTACTTGACCCACTTCACTACCACTAGATGTCCCCCTGACAATCCTGCCAGTCTCTCACCAACAGTTGGACCCCAACACCACCCTATTCCTGCTGCCAAATACGGCCACACCAAACTCTCCTCCACCCGTTGTTGAACTTAATCTGACCTGACCTCCCGTGACATCCACTGTACAAGATAATCCCATTGGACATAACCTGACACCCTTACTACCAGACCTGAGCCCACTACGATTCTGTCTCCAGGCCTGACCTAATCCACCCCCGAGGAAAATTTACATTGCTATTTAAAAGAGAAGAATGTGCAAGCTTACAGTGGGAAGGCAGGACAATGGCACTAAGTGAACTGATCATTCGGAACAGATACGGACACAATAGGTTAAATGGCTTCTTTTTGAAAAAAAGGATTTTTAATCGACCTGTTCAGAGTTGCTACCACACACCTCTGGAGCAGGTGGGACTTGGGTTTCCTTGTCCAGGGATAGGGACATTATCACTGTGCCACAAATGATTCAGTGATTCCTCCTCAACTTGCTTCTTTAGCAAGGATAAGTCTAATGGAATACTAATGAGAAATGAAACCACTCCAGCATCCATTGCAGAACAAACCTATATCTCGTGATTACAGGCATTTGTTGGTATGGGAGAGACATTAACAGAATTTCAGGTATTGAAATTAGGACTAAACCTACCTCTGGCCCAAAGTAAAGTTGCAATGCAGAAAGCATGTTAAGTGAACTTTATGCTATAGTTACAATTCTTTTATTGCATTTCTCCCTGAGCCTGACTTGCTGCGAACAAACATTTAGGGCAAAGACCTTTCTCAGAATAAAATGTGGAATAAATTAGTTCAGTAATGCCTTCACTGCATCCAATACCAACTATGATATCTCTTTTGTTAATAAGTCACTGGAATAAGTTTTGAGTAATTATAGTTTTTATAGCCAGGTAAAAATTAGTCAGGAATCACGCAGAGAATGTGGCTGCCAAGGCAAAATTCTTGGCACTGAGAATCAATACAAATCCGATATCTATTTCATTTCTGGATTAAAAATGTTGAAATGTCTGTGGGAAAACTACAAGGAATAATACCCAATCTTACCTCAAACTACGAATGGAAAATGAACATTTTCAGGGAAAATAATGAGAAGCCCAGCAAACAGGATATGATCTGAATATTTTAACCCACAAAAATATTTTTACACAGTGGAAACTCTTGTCATCTAGAGTATTTCCTTTACAGATATTCAGTACTTGAAGCATGACAAACTTCTGACTTGTTTGCCAAGAGGTTTTACGTCTAGGTCAGGATTAATTATCTTTAGGTGATATGGCTGCAGAACAACAGTCAATTCACAATAGTTGCACCTCAGCTTATTTAAACATTCCTTTACTTTCCCATAATAAAAATAAATAAAAATGATCTTTTGTATTTGGAATAAAGACAACAGTCCTTACATTGTTTGCTGCATTCACACAGAAACGTTGAGAATGCAATATATATTCAGTAGAAATCAGCTAGATGTATCATTTCAAATGCAGTCAAGCATTGCTTGTCAAATATCTGCACTAGTTTGTGTTCCACCAAAATAAATAATTGCTATTTGAACTGAAGAATATTATAAATTAAAACTCATAAGCACGTCCATCTACTAGCGACACACTCTGATGAGACTTACGAACAATGAGAAATTCAAAGTGATAAAGACCAAGAACTGGAGGAACACAAGAGGGATTTTATGGATCACACAGAATTGGGAAATGTAGCATGCAGAACTATTGAAGTAGGTGGGATGTAAAATCTTGATTTGTTGGTGAATTGAGATGTAGAGATAAAGTCAGCAGGGTATTTGTGCTGTGTTGGGCCTCACATAGGCGTATCACAAGTTTGTACCTCTAATACATTTTCAGGCAATGAATACTTAGTTGTGATAAATTATTGTGTTTAATAAGCCCTGCCTTCAATATAAAGTCATAGGTGCATGAGAATTTCTTTGCATGTGGTTCATGTTTGCTTAGAGGTGACATGCACCAATCAGCTTTGTGCTATTACATCTGAGGTCAGCAGTTTCCCTTATTGAACTCTACAATACAAGACAGGGAGCATACTGGCAGTCTGTCAGAGAACTTGGGACTGGAAAGCCTGAGTCAGTGGTGAAGGGGTGGGGTTGGACCAGGGGCATGGAAGAGTAGAAGAGAGATCCAAATGCAGATGGAGAGTAGGGTCAATTCTCAAGAATTAAAGGCAATAGAATTCGGAAGAAACATTTTAGCAGTGATGCAAATCCAGGAAACTTTTTATGTCTGACTTGTAGCTGCTGCATTGTCAGCTGATGATAGATTTCACCAATAAAATGCATCTTCCACCATGGTATTGCTCATGTTCATGTACATGGTTTCAATTTTAATTGCAGTTGCATGGGGAATTGAGAAAAGCAAGAAAATGGAAGTGGTGGGAATGGCTCAACAGCTCTAAAATTCTTTGCATAATAATATTTGATGTTCAAAAGGTTATCCTCAAAATACAGACTTGATTTCACATATAACAATTTAGTATTGAATGTAATACAGGCATATTTCCCCTGGTGGTGTTCACAATGTATTGGAATATGGAACAAGATACATTATTAGGACTACTGATTTACAGTGATTGCAATAACACATAATTTGACTTCTTTGTTTTAATCTAACAACATCATTTATGCTTTCAAGCTACAGTTGCATGGTCATGTGTGCATTTACACACAAATTATAAATCAATGACTAAGACCAATAACTATTAGCTAAAGTTTATTTTACCTTTTCCGAAAGCCAAAAAATACAAAGGATAGTGTTTCAAACTTGCAGATATGAACCTCTTGTAGCAATACAGGGGGTCCAGGTAGCCATTAGGATCAGTAGCATCAAGTGGGTTTGGGAGTGATATTGTATGGGAGAGCTGGAAAGGGGGTTGTGGCCTTGTGATGGATGTATTGTGATTCTGCTTGGCAGAATAGCGAAGGTGATAAGAGGATTTGTTTAGGAGTGGAGACGTGTGTTAGGGAACAATGAGATTTGTAATCTGATGTGCTAAATCCCCGGAAGAAAGGTAAGGCACATGAAAGTGGCAGATGAGTCAAAAGGAATTAATATAACATAAGTGCTTTGAGAAATAAACCTTGCATATACATGGAAATGTGTCTTCCAAAGAAGACTTCTAATGAAATATACACATTGATTGTATTTCTTTAATGCTAGGCATCTTAATACTTAAGTGAAATGATGCAGGAAGAATTTATATTTTGAAATAAGTGCATCATGTTGTGGATGCTGGAAAACAAACAAAAACAAGCTGCTGGCGAAACTCAGCAGGTCTGACAGCATCTGTGGAGAAAGAAAAATTGAGTTAACATTTCAAGTTGGATATGACGGTTCTTTGGAACTTTGAACTCGAAACATTCACTCTGTTTCTCTCCCCATAGATCCTGCCAGACCTGCTGAGTATTTACAGAACTTTCTGCTTACATCTTGATATTTTCAAGTTGATTGTAGCTTTCTGCTTGGTTACGTAAAACACAACAATGCATTATTAGTGATTTAAAACCTCATGAAATCAGTATTTTTTGATTATTTTAGGTGGCAAAATACATTAAAATCAGCCTTGCACTATACCTAAAGCAATAATGCTTGTTGTGCACAGTGACTTTGCTGCAAAATCATCAGACTGCTAAACATTGTGCTCCATTTTTAATTGGCAGAACACCAACTGGGGTACAAATCCCTCTGGCAAGCTTGTAATAAGAAACCTTTAACCAATTAAAACAAAAGAAGAATTTAGCATATTTCAACAGAATGCTAACAGTCTGGATGAGCTGCAATTATATTGCAAAGTTCTAGATGATATTCACAACTCATTCATGATTACAAAGCAATTATTTAAACTTTAAAAATTGTGAATTATATTCTATTTTCAAATTCTCGTGGTTATATCTTGTTTTAAATTCCCATACAGGAACACTATACGCCACATTCTTAGTGAAGACTTGTTGCTCAAATCCATATTTGTGTCCTGTTTCTGATGGAGCTTGTAAGACACTGAGGCCAATGTCTTGTTCAACATGAGTCTCTGTTATTCAACAATCTGCGTAAATATTGTATAGGTGATCCTAGCAGTTGAGAAAGCACTTCATAGCAGCGTGCAAAAGCTGTCTACCAATTGTTGATGCTCAAATTAAAAATGTATCTCTCTCTCACACAACCCAACCACCCAGTCTCCATGTTGAAACAGATAACACACAGTAAATATTCTGATAATGTAACAGGACTTGTTCTACGCATAGAGGAGCTGGCCTGTTATGTTCTCCTCCGACAGTCCATTACTTACCAGGGTGTCTCCTTATGCTGGTGGAACTAGGCGTACTGACTCAATTATATAACAGTACTACAGCTGAAGTTGTTATTGGCATTAGGGACTGTCGCAGTAAAATAACACAGTAGACAGGGACAAAAAGGGGAAATGTTTACAGTCTTTTTGATGGACCGGTGACGAGCTCCTGGACTTTCACAATGAGGGCAATTCATTTTGCTTCAAAATGTGTTTTAAGAGCAAATCATCAATGCCACAGGAAACACTGCTTTTCTGTTGAGAAAGGATGTTAACAATTTACTTCTTGTAAGACATCAGTGGATGCAAATGTTCCATAGGTCTATTGTTAGTGTGTGGGAGGTGAGGAAACAGAAGGAGGGAAGCATGCTTCCTGTTTTTGAAGCAAACATAGTGAAATCTGAAGCTCATAGCAGAATGTCTGATCCAAGACCTGGTTTAGCAAAACTAACAAGGTGTTCTTTCAATTTGTAAGCTTTTAGAAATATACATTTGTTCAAAATGTAAGCACTTGTTTCCTTCATTAAGCTTCTGACTTCTTATTCTGTTCAATTCTGACAATATATTGCACATCTTTCAATGCAAATGGATCCTCAAGACATAAATGGAAAATGAAAACAAAGTGTGTACACCATTATTAGGTTTACATTAATTATGCTTTCCTAGGAAAGGAGCACAGTAGACAGGGACAAAAAGAGGAATATTGCCATTTTAACAATTATTACAATTAATTTACAACACAGTAATTTTTCACATGAACAGATGTTTACAACTTGATCTATTTACCTGCTTGCCTTTTGCTGATCCATTTTTCCCAATGAGAGGAGGTGAATTTGTTATAGGACGCGGAGTAGCTTCAGTGTGATCATGTCCATGTAGTGTCACAGCGGCACTGACCTGACCATCTGTTATTGATCTGTTAGTTGAATTTTCAGTGGAAGTATTGAATGCACTTTCATCTGTGAGCATACAAATGTGCTGAATTGTTACAAGGCTAAAACTCACTACTCCTCTGGTATTTCCAGTACAGTTGGTTCTGCAATAACATGTGTTCTGTCAACGCAAATTGGTTGTAATGCGATTGATGAATAGGGGAATGCTGTTTCTAAAATGCGAACTTGTGTTGGCTATAACGCGATTCCATTGTGCTTGGAAGAGTATGCATTGACATCACATGGTCGTTTCACCGGCTGTGTCGTGAATACGTGCAATGTTAGCATCGAAAAAGTCTCTGTGCCAGAATCACATGATCATTTTGCGGGCTTTGTTGTGAAGTGCTTTCTGTGAGACAACCTCCTCCCCCATAAAGTCATCTTGACATTTTTTTCAAGGTATAATGTTAAATTTACTTTTATTTCATGATTAGATATGAATTAAACATTTATTCAAATTATGCTATCTTTTGTGTTAGGCTTTCGAGTGATTTTTGAGCGATTTTGAGTGATTTTTTTTGGTAGTCTGGCCCTAACTTCACTTTTCCCATAGGCTGCATTATTTCTAGTGTGTGATTTTCTATAACACGATATTGCACAGGAATGCAACTATAGCGTTTTAGCAGAACCGACTATATTCTTAAAGTATGATTACTATCACAAATCTGATCGGACACTAAGGATTAGGAAGTTTGAGATCCCAGTTTTGAAATGATGTTTTTTACTAATATTTTTCTCTGGTCATCTTCTATTTTAACCTTCCTACTTTTGAATGTTACCAGCTCTTGGGTATCAACAGCCCCTTGGTGCAAATTTTTTTTTGGTGTAGGGTACACATGATGTGCATGTGTATTTAAAATATATGTCACATTGGGGTGCCATGATGGCTCAGTGGTTCACACTACTGCCTCATAGCACCAGGGACCTGGGTTCAATTCCAGCTTCTGGTGACTGGCAAATGCAGTGTTATGGGGATGTGGTAGTTCTGGGAGGGATGCCCTTCACAGGGTTGGTGTGGACTCAGTGGGCTGAGTGGCCTGCTTGCACACTGTACAGATTCTCTGAATAAGTGAGCGTGCATGTTTCTGAATATGTGTGTGCAGGGGCAGGGAGACATACATAGGAACATAAGACTTAGGAGTGGGCCATTAGTCACTTTGAGTCTAACCTCATTCAATAAAATATCAACAGATCCACTTGTAGTCTCAACTCCATTTTGCTTTCTGCTCCCATTGCCGTCAGCTCCTTCTTTTATCAAAAATCAAGGTACATGTGTTTGTGGGGGGATGTGTGTGTAATACTGTGTGTGGAGAGAGGTGTGTGTGCTTGTGTGAATATCTGCTGTTATGAATTCTAAACTTTTCAGGATGAAGATGCTTCAACATGTCTCTTTAAGTAAGTTGGACAGTATGTTCTGGTAAAGAGGGAAGGGGAATAACTGATCAACACCTCAGCTCAGAGGAATGATCATGAGATCATGTTGCCGTTGAAGAGGGAATCACAAACAGAAACTTAGGGAAGAATCAAGTCACAATTTCAGCACAATTTCAAAGTATCTCACCGAACAAAGCACACCTGCTGTGGAATTGCAGGCAGGCGAAGAATCGAAACTTTGCTCAGGACTGTTTAAGGTCTGTAAAAAGTAATTTGTATAAAGGTCTGTAAATAAAGCTCTAAGGAGTAAATAGATTCTATCAGAGCAATAAAACTGTCTAGGGTCGTGGTGGATATGGCAATCTCTGGAATTCTGGATAATCAGGGCTGTTGAGACTGGAGAGAGCAAGAGAGGTGCATTGAGCTGCACCTTGGCTGGTGATAATTGTATTTGGGAAAAGTCAGATGGATTGGAATCACTGGGGAAGTTTTGACCTGGCTTTGTGGGAGAAGCCTCCATGGAACTGGTTTCATGTCAACCCTGAGCAGTGGGCGAGAGATAAAAACCAAGTGACACAATCACAGTCCAAACTTTCACTTCCAATTTATCGTCAAAAAAGTCTATGCTGAGGTTTACCGCCCTGCAGATATAATATTCAAGCAGTTTATTCATTTAGATGAAAAGTTTATCACTGGACCCTGGCTGGCAACATTGAGAAACAAGTAATATGGAAGTAAGGGTCTCATTTTCCACTTTGGGACCCTGAAACCCTGAAGCCTTCACTACTCAAGATCAAGTTTAATAACTTCAGGGCCTGAATATCTTCTTCTACGTCCTTCCCCTATCCCACACATTATGCCTCGTCACCACATGGGGCTGCTTCTACCACAGCCAACTCATTTTCATCCACTCACGGTCCCCATTAATAGCTAATCATTCTCCTGAGCTGACCTTTACGAACTTTTTTGTCTGCCCAACTGCTGTTCTCTTTTTCTGGGCTCCACTTCCCCCTTCATTAGTCAGCACACTGAATATAGGATTTGAGACGTCATGTTGTAGCTGTGCAGGACATTGGTGAGGCTACTTTTAGAATAATGTGTTAAATTCTGGTCTCCCTGCTATAGGAAAGATGTTGTTAAATTTGAAAGGGTTCAGAAAGCACTTACAAGGATGTTTCCAGGATTGCGTTATAGGGAGAGGCTGAATAGACTGGGGCTATTTTCCCTGCTGCTTCGGAGGATGAGGAATGACCCGTATAGAAGTTTATAAAATCACAAAGGGCATGGATAGGGTGAAGAACCAAGGTCTTTTTCCTCAGGGTATGGGAATCCAAAACTAGAGAGCATAGGGTTAAGGTGAAAGGGGAAAGATTTAAAAGGGACCTGTGGGACAACTTTTTCACGCAGAGGGTGATGCATGTTTGGAGCAAGCTGCCAGAGGAAGTGGTGGAAGTGGATTCAAATACAACATTTAAAAGGCATCTGGGTAGGTATATGAATAGGAAGGGTTTAGAGGGTAATGGGCCAAATATTGGCAAATGAGACGAGATCAGTTTAGGATATCTGGTCAGTGTGGATGAGTTGGACTGAAGAGTCTGTTTCCATGCTCTATAACTCTGTAACCTTATTGTTTAATCCTTCCCAGTTCTGAGGAAGGGTCACTGGACCCGAAATGTTAATTCTGCTTTCTCTCCATTGATGCTGCAGATCTACTGGGTTTCTCCAGCAATTTCTGTTTTTGTTTGTATAAGGAAGTAAGAATGTGAGGGCATCAGAAAATAAACCTCAAGACTTTGGAGCAGAATTAGAAATCAGCATGGTGGTGGCACTGTGACTCAATGGTTAGCACTGCTGCCTCTTACTCCCAGGGACCTGGGCTTGATTCCAACCTTGGCTGAGTGTCTGTGTGAAGTTTGCACATTCTCCCCCTGTCTGCATGGGTTTCTGCTGGATGATCTGGTTTCCTCCAACAGAGATGTGTAGGTTATGTGGGTTAGCCAAGGTAAATATAGAGTTACAGGGATAGGTGGGGCTGCGTCTGGATGGGATTCTCTTTGGAGGGTCAGTGCAGACTTGATGGGTTGAATGGCCTTTTTCTGCACTGTAGAAACTCTGTAATTCTAGCACTTGAGCTATTCAATGGTATTGAAATCAGCAGAAGGGCAGTTTCTATAACATACAATTAATAACAAGTTGAATATCTACCCAATTACTCTCTTGGTGACAACATTACTCTCTATATCTTTAAGTAAGACTGAATCTTTTGAATCACATGAGTGGTCTGTAGAACTTTTGCATTGGTTTAATTGCATTCAAACTATTAATGCATTAAAATAATATGAAGCTGATAGTCTATCCTGATGTTAACCTCACCTGTTACACTATTGTTCATTGCTGGAGTTCTGGTTGAATTTGTAGCTTGCTCTTGTCCTGAACATTGGCAATTCCATTGAACTACATTGAAATAAAGAAACATCAAAAATTGGTTAACAAGATGGCATTATATCAGTCATTAGCCCTTGTTCTGCTACTTAAAGAGAAACTACCTGTGCATCTCACTTTCTTTCCTACAGTGAAAGTCAGCCTTGAGTAGGTGCACACAGTGGGCAAAATTAATTGCAGCAGATAAAGAAAAACTTAGCCAATACATTACCACAAGTTCTGCATTGTGATCTTAAATTTTACTCTGACTGTCTCTAATTTCCAGGAAAACGTAAGTTCAATCCTTTCTTTCCATGGTGTCTGAAGACTACAAAACACATCGGTGAATCCAAGTTTTAGAGGTCCGAGTTGTGAAGCAAAACTAGAAAGCGGCAGGACTTGCCAGCCTTCAGAGGAGAAGTGATCTTATCACAATATTTAAGCTAGCTATTATGATGGAAAAGATGAAAGAAATACAGAAAGAGTTGGGCAAAAAAGGAACAGGTTCAAACTCATAAAAAACAAATTATTATTGATATTTAAGGAGATTTTTTCAACCCTGTTGTACTGCAATTCCTAATGCATAATTTTTCAGTTGCTATATTACATTAGGCATTGTATATGAGCTGCTTCATATATTTCTCTCTTAGGTATCATAGCCTTAGAGGATGTTTCTGACCATAAACCTTCATCGGATTTGTACACAATCATGCTTGGCAAAATGGAACAATAGTTGTGGTGTTGTCTTTCTCAGTGCGATTGGCTAATCAGCAGATGTTCCCATCCTTACTGCAGAAATAACAGATAACAGAAATATTGGAAGGAAGGACTTAGAGGTTGATAAATGAACCTTTTTGACCACCTTGTCACCTTCAATGAAAGTTTTGTAGTGCGGCTTGGACTCAACACTTGGCCTAAATGTGGGAATGCTACCACTGCTTCACAAGACCAACCCATTTTAATCTACCTAATTCAACACACACAATGTTAGATGAAAAATTCTACCATGTGTGGAGGCTTAATTGCTTGAAAGCTGTCATAGTCATCAAGTGTTCTTTCATTTAAGAATGACAACTACTCAGGGTTGCAAGTTTCTGGTATAAGTGAGTCAACTCATAAATCTTAGGGCATGTGTGACAGGCTGTCCCATGTGGCATCAGGATCTGGAAATGCAGGATTTGCTTCCTATTTTTTCCTTCTGTGCCATTGCTTTGCTTCCGCATTAAGTCACAACATCGTGAAGTGTGATGAAGTTTGATGTTCACCATTTAGTTCCTCCCAGTCATTAATACTAATCTTACTGAACCTTAAGGAGAGCTTCAAAATCTTTGAAGTGTTTTCTTTGTTTGCCCGGAAGTTGGCCCCTTGAGTTCAGGAAACAAGACTTGACTGTGGAGACATTTTTAGGCCATCCGGATATGCTGTTAAAGCCATTATGGCTGATTTTTCCAGGAGTTTTGCCTGAATGTTTGTAGAACTGCTTCTAGAAGGACATTAATGTTTGTTCAACAGTCATCCTATGTATTCGAGAGTAAGTGATGAAGGCACGCTGATGAAATTTCTCTAGTGCTCTTATATGTCACTCGTACACAGTCTGTGTCACACTGCAGTACTCACTCAGGAATGTGATGATGATGATTGTTCTTTACAGTAGGACTTCTGTTGACTCAAACATTTCTCCTTTTTGACATTTATCTCTCCGGTAATGAATTCCGTGGGACCTGAGTTTGCATCTTTTACAGCATGTGAGAAACAAATATCCCAAGAATATTAGGCTCCTGTCAAACAGGTTAAATCTGTGGTGTTTTCCCAAATTATCATCTTGTATCTAACGTAATTTGCCACCTCTACCAATATGTAGTACTGGATTAGAGTTGTATTACACTACCATCAGTCCAGCTATGTTTTGCTCTGTCCAGGACTTATCCAGTGATCAGATGTAGTAAATATACCATTGCAGGATATCTACAGAAGAGACTATGGCTAAGTGTGTGTTACGTCAAGTCTTTTGGAGGATTCTTTTGTTGTGACATCTTGTCAGTGCTCTCACTGTTTTTTTACGAAACATATTGCATTAACTACCTACCTGCCCCTACAGCATCCCACATGCGATTGCAGCCACATCTCATCACATGCTGTTTCCGGAACAACTTGCTACTGCCGAGGTATCCTGGAATTAACTGGCACCTGTTCCAGCTTAAAAAGGCTGTCAAGCACCTGGATAAGCTCTGACAGTTTGAAGCTGGCCTGTTCATTTGTCTTGATCTTAGAAGACTGGGGGAAATCAGCACACTGCTTAGGGGCAGGGACCTGGAGATCCTGCTAGATGGAATGGTGTAGAGGTCAAGCCTCCTCTTCCCTCAGCAGTGGAGAATGATGGCATGAAACTAGATCATGCCAGCCTAGTTCAATGTTGAAAACTGGTTTAGAACAGTGTCGGGTATCTGGAGGAAAACACAACACTGTAGACAGAAGATAACACGGTGTGGAGCTGGAGGAACATATCAGGCCAGGCAGCATCAGAGGAGCAAGAAAGTTGACGTTTCAGGTCAGGACCCTTGAAAGAGATCTGTGAAGAAGGGTCCTGACCCGAAACGTCAACTTTCCTGCTCCTCTGATGCTGCCTGGCCTGCTGTGTTCCTCCAGCGCCACACTGTGTTATCTCTGACTCCAGCATCAGCAGTTCTTACTATGCCTGTAGACAGAAGGTCAATGTCTTTCTCCACTTTACCAGTGTAAGTGCTACATTGTCTCTCTATTGTCTTACACTCACTCTGTCTCTGCTGCTTTACCCATCTCCCACAAAGCCTCATGCTCTACCACTCTCACTCTTTGCTGCATTATCTCACCACACACACTATTGCCCACCCCAATTTGCAACATTACTGATCCTGTATGCCCACTGCACTGCCTACTCACTTGCTACTCACAGGATACCCCCCTACCTGCACCAAAAGTAACAGCTATCATCTCCCTTAAAGCTTGCTTTTCTCTCATTCCAAGAGCAAAAACGTTTTCAGCAGGCAGAGAGTCAAGATGACTAGTTGCCCTACATTTGATTCCTCACCACGGATGTGGACAGCATCCAGAGTCAGACTGTCCTAAGTGGCTGACAGGCCATTTCTAAACCCCTGGACTGGTATGTGAGGCTGCCCTTTGACTTACTGTTCCAGGACTCCCTGAGTAAAGGATATGATCCTTCAGTTGACAGAGGCCCTACTGACAACTATGACAAGCATCGTGTTTTTGTGCCTGTGCTAAATGGGAAAGCAAGGAGGAAGTCATATAAGCCTGGTAGCTCTGACTGAGGGGCCAAAATGAACAGAGGCAAGGCCATGCAATGCAAGGCAGGGATGCTTTGAGCATCTAGGTAGGCTGAAGAGTGAGTGAGCACTGTGACAGCAAACAAAAAGGCCAGAGATGCAGCCTGGTCAAGTCCATGAGCTGGGAGTGCAGTCTTAATTGCACAGTCTCCTTGCTGCAGCATTGCAATGATAGTTGCTGTACAGCATTGAAGTGCAGAAGCAGATCGGAGATGTACCACGAGAGTTCTTAGAAGCTGGCACATATCAGATGCTACTGTCTGTGAACATGGGGTCAACGTGGCCTGTGCCCATGGACTGTGACTGAAGATATTGGTGCCCAGTGTCCAACATGAAGGTTTTTCTGAGCAAGTGGCGAGTTTAATTTGCCAGATACCTGCTCGGACTTCCATCTTGCTCCATGTAGGATGGGAAGCTGAATGTTAATGAGGTGAGTTGGACCATTAATAAGGTGCTTAGCAAGCCATACTACTCCTTAATAGACAACTTGCCACTGCCTAAAGTGAAACTCATCATGCCGCTACTTGTCAAAAGCATAAAAGATCTCCTGAGATACTCCTGACTTTGAAATAGACATCAGCAGACTGCTTATGTTTCTAACTCAAATCCCATCATAACCCACACCTTTAAAAATCCTAAAAGGCTACGCCCATTCTTACATAATAAGTTTAATTTCATTCATTGTGCTAACTGGTTTAGACCAAATTCTCAGCTGACGTTATTCATGCCATGATATGTCTCTTTCAAATCACAGAAGGAGAGTAAGTTATTTCAGCACTCTTGATGAGAAAATATTGAAAATGTTGCACAGCTACAGGTAGCTTCAGGTCAGTTTAGGCACATTTTACAGGAGAAATTCTCTCAGGTTTTGAAAGTAAACCTGAGTGCCTGATGACTGATACAATTTTCATATTTTTGAACATTGTTATTCCTTATCTTGAACATCATGTACATTTGGAGCAATAATAAGGAGACATCCAACAACATCTTTAATTTATATAAAAGCTATCATGTATAAATAACACTTTTTTATATAAGTAAAATATAATATAATAGAAATTGAAAATGACACAAAGTTCTGAATTATGATTTGTCCTGCATTTCTTTTATAAGCAATTTTGCAATATTTAATGATCTTGTGCAACAGAAAATGGCAAATGACCTAGCAGCAGTGGAGTCTAGGTAACTTCATTAAACTTAGGCATTCCCCAACATAATGGCTGAATCTTGTTTTAACAGGTTATTTCGTGGTATGCCATGTCAGTTATACTTATTTTCACCTTTTCAGTTGAAATTGTTTTTGCATTGAAACTGAGAGTGTCAGCTAATAATGAATCAATGAGTAAACAGGATATCTGAGAGTTCAGTGAATGACAGGATCAATAATGTATCTCCTTAACCAATGGATGTAAAGGTTAAGAAAGAAACAAAGGAACAATGGAGAAAGAAGGTGAAATAGAGTCAAATCAAGTCCAGAAAGGAAATAAAGAAAAAGAACTAAATATATTAGGAGCAAGAGAAGAGACAGAACAAGTAAGAAAAACATAAAAATCAAAATGGGACATTGATAAAATCTTTAACAATTGGCTTTGTGTGAGAGTGTGATGGAACATTTTAAGTTGTTCTCTGTCTGGGCCAGAGAAGTTGTTTGACATTACTTTAGGGGATATTCATCTTTTACAAGGTACTTATGCTGTTAATTATCTGGCT